CAGTATCATTATTCAAAAAGATCATTCCTTAATCTTCAGTATTTGTTTCAATTTGAATGCATTAAACTGATTTGTAGCAAATCTGTCGCATAATCCTAATCCTGTGATGTCCACTAGCTAGGTAGCTATTAAATTGAAATTAAATAAATTTAAAAATCAGTGTTCTCTTTCACACTAACCACATTTCAATTGCTCAATGGCTGTATGTGATGAGTGGCTACCATTTTTTTTCCATGTAGATATACAATATTTCCATCAATACTGAAACTTCTAGTGGCTTGTGTTGCTCTAATCCTTTCTCTGACAATTTGAAGAAAGTATTAATTTTATTACAGCATGACTTGTACAGTCAGATTTCCCATTTGATAAATTTGCATCCTTAACTTTGAATAGACACAGAAATGCAGAAAAAGGTTTAACCCTCTATCCCCTTAAATGTACCCACAAATTACATGGGATAAGCTCACCACCTGCTTTAGTGTCTGAAATAGAAGCACCTGAATAAATGTTTAACAAATAATAAACTTATTTGTTTATTTGAGAATGTATTGAGAGGTTTTGTGAAATTCCACAATGTAGCAATTTCTCATTTTCCAGATCCCTTCACCCTCACCCCCATAACCAATCCTCTACTTTTTTAAAGATAATTAGGGATTTAATTCTTTTATACCAATCAGACTCTTGTAATGCACACAATGAAAGTCCTTCGGATATAGAATTCCATTCGGTGCTTCTCTGCTTGTCTAGTAAATGAGTTTAAAAAGTTGGGAATAGTAGAAATGACCTGAGGTAACTTGTTTTTTTCTTACATCTGGACAAAGTGGTAGGTAATCCGTGGGGTCCTTGGATGCTCTTTTTCTAATAAACGCCTGTTGGGCTTTCTACTGGGTCACATTTATGTACAAAGCACAACCTTGAAATATTACTAAGTTTTAAGCGAGTGTGTAATGTGAGCATTTTCTGCTTTTGACCCAGCCATCTTCCCATTGTCTAAGAATTATGCATAGGAACGGTCTATCTCTTCTGGCCTATAACTGAATATGTATGTATGCAAGTATGTATACATGTATATGTGTGATATCTGGCAAGAGACAACAGGAAAAGAAAAGGATGATACTATCTAAATCAACAATGGTGAATCACTGAAGTGTAAGAGGTTTTTTACTTAGCGTAATGACTCCCAAGTGTCAATTCCAGATAAGTGCCAGTTTAAACTAAAATTTTCTTCTCTGCTGTTTGAAAGGACATTGCTTCATTCTAAAGTAATGTTCTTGATATTTTTTGGTGTTAAAGAACTTTAATTTAGTAAATGATTATGCTTGCTGATAGTAGTTAATGGCAAAACAACAACAACAAAAAAAAGCACCTGGAAAATCAATCCCTTAATAATTTACAGAAAATTTGTGGATGGGAACTATGATCTGATTAAGCAGATGGATTTATGTGAAGGAAAGTTGAAGTTTTATAGAAGTGTGACCGATTTACACTGAACTAGACACCTGGATTTCTCATGAGAAAATCAATTTGTTGGGGCGCCTGGGTGGCTCAGTGGGCTAAGTGGCCGACTTCACCTCGGGTCATGATTTCATGGTCTGTGAATTCGAGCCCCACATTGGGTGAGCACTATGCTGTCAGCTCAGAGCCTGGAGCCCGCTTCGGATGCTCTGTCTCTCTCTCTCTCCCTCAAAAAATAAACATTAAAAAAATTAAAAAATAAAGTAAACCAATTTTTCAAATTACAAATTACCAATACTGCTTCAGGCACTAAATTTCTTAGTATGTATGCTTATGTGTGAATGTGTGTATGTGTATGTAAGCATACATGCACACAAATATATGGGGAGGTAGAACATAGTACTAAGACTGAGTTTTAACCATGAAATGAAAACAAAAAGTATCAAATAAATCACATGTTTAGGGGCCCCTGGGTGGCTCAGTCAGTGGGTTGTCCGACTTCGGCTCAGGTCATGACCTCACAACACGTGAGTTTGAGCCCCGCATCCCGCATCGGGCTCTGTATGCCGACAGCTCAGAGCCTGGAGCCTGCTTTGGATTCTGTGTCTCCCTCTCTTTGCCCCTTCCCAGTGCTCTCTCTCTCTCTCTCTCTGTCTTTCAAAAATAAATAAGCATTAAAAAATTAATTCAAAAAATAAATCACATGTTTAATGTCATTGTGCTAAGACACGACGTGTGCTTTGCCCACTGTGACCACAATGTAGTATTTGAAATGTAAGGTCTTCTTTTGGCAAATTCAAACTTAGTCTAAAAGAGTCATCACCTGAGCAGTCCTCTGCCCTCACCCTCTTCTACACACAATTCCTGAAATTCTTTCTGATGCAAAGCTATTGCATATGTTAATAAATAAAACCTCAAAGCTATTATAATTTGGTTATCTGTGTAGTGAATTATCAATTTCACAGTTTGGCTCTTAGAAGTTATTTTTAATCTCCAAATTCTTAAGGGCACTTTACTGAAGTGTCAGAATTTTAACTACCAGACATACAACCTATGGGAGAGGTTTAGGAAAAATTTTAAACACGATGGTTAGCGTTTACTTCCTAAAAACATTTTGTGAGAATGCAATTAGCATTCTGGCCCGTTGGGGGGAAACAAATAAAAGAACAAAATCAGATATACATCCTTTGAATTTCTCTTTCTCAACATTTTATTTATTTATGAAAATAAAATTCATTCTCACAAACGTAACTATACTAAAATTTTGCTGTCGCAAGGGCTTTTAAATAATCAGCGATTTTCTTTCCAGTAAGCATTTTCGTATTTATGTTAGAAAGCACTTATTTTATTTAGTTTAAAATGCAAGCAAGTGCATTTTAATTTTATTTTGCTTATTAGTGAGAATTTTCAATGCTGTTAAGCTTTTTTTATTTTTATTTTTATTTTTGTTAATGTTTTATTTATTTTTGAGACAGAGAGAGACAGAGCATGAATGGGGGAGGGGCAGAGAGAGAGGGAGACACAGAATCGGAAGCAGCTCCGGGCTCTGAGCCATCAGCCCAGAGCCCGACGCGGGGCTTGAACTCACAGACCGTGAGATCGTGACCTGAGGTGAAGTCCGACGCTTAACCGACTGAGCCACCCAGGCGCCCCAAGCTTTTTATTTATGCAGATATTGATTTGGAATTGGCCCAGACCCTATAATTGTACCTGCCATTACGAACTGTGAATGTTTAGATATTTGTTTATAAAAATTATTTGTAAATAATTGGTCCACCGATATGAATCTTAAAAATGTCATTTATCTCTCCTTGCATGCATCATTGAATAAACTTACTAGCCTGGGATGTTAAGTTCCCTTTGAAACTCATGACTGACTTCAAGTTTCATCTCAACTTTGTTTCAGATAATTCAGATAGTCAGCGCTGCAGACCGAGATCTTTCACCTGCTGGGCAGCAATTTTCCTTTAGATTATCACCTGAAGCTGCCGTCAAACCAAATTTTACAGTCCGTGACTTCAGAAGTAAGTTTAATCGCATAAAAACGTACCTCTTGCCATGTAACTTTGTAAAAGGGTGCAAAGGTAGCAACCCATGTTTTTCCTAGAAGCACTCAAGTTCATAAAATGTGGAAATCCATATATGAGAAATATGAAATTCTATGGCTAGCAGTAAATTAAATATTTAACCTATGTAGATCGTATCTAATGAGGCAAATTGCTTCCATTTATAATGTGGACGGTCCCTTAATGAGTCAAGCCAAAATAGCCTATCTGGGAAATTGAATGCTTTCTATGTTTTAAACGTATCATTTGTTCCACATGCACATTACTTGTACAAACACATACATAACTTCTTAGTAATTGGTTTGTTTGAATAATATACAGTACAGCACAGGTTAAGAATAAGGCTTTGTAACTAGAATGGCAGAAATTTTCATTCCCACTCCATTATGTCCTCAATGGCAGACTCTCAATGTATGAAGTTATACTACATAATTTTAAACTCATAGTTGAAATAAATCAACCTCATAGTATTTATTTTTTAAAAAAAAAATTTAACGTTTTTATTTTTGAGACAGGGAGAGACAGAGCATGAACGGGGAGGGTCAGAGAGAGGGAGACACAGAGTCTGAAACAGGCTCCAGGCTCTGAACTGTCAGCACAGAGCCCGATGCGGGGCTCGAACTCAGGGACCGTGAGATCGTGACCTGAGCCAAAGTCGGCCACTTAACCGACTGAGCCACCCAGGTGCCCTCATAGTATTTATATTAAATAAAATAATACGTGCAAATCATTTAGCACAATACCCAAGATTATTTTAGTGATCACCTCTGCCATCAGTCTGCACTTCTGTGTCTACCACGGTCATCATCACCACTGCTTCTGCTCCTAATGGTATCACATCTGCTACTGTGACAGTCACTACAAAAATACAAAGGGCACTGGATATATTGCAGCTAAGTACTGGCCAGTTGTTCTTACATTATTAATTCTGTGACTGTGGACATTTTATCCCTTCTAAGTTTCTTTAGTTATGAAATAGGTATTAGAAACATCTGAGTTCATAATATTGGATGGTAAAAAGCTAGTTTCTTACTAAATTCTATGCTTATAAAACAAATGAACAGATTGTGATGAGATGATAATGATTGACAGAAGTCAAAGGATGTCTGAAAAAAATTTACTTGTCTGTAAATATTTAGAGAAAGAAATCAGACATTTTGTCACAGAAGGAAATTCAGTAGGGTTTTCTCCAACTAATAGTGTAGTGTGAGGAATGGCTATAAATGCAGTAGGGTTCCAAATATGAAAGGCCTTAGAGACACCACATATTTTATTATGAAAGCTAGAATACTTTGGAGAATAGACATGGACGATATTAGTGATTTTAATTAGAACAGCTCACATAAAATAGGACTGCCCAAGACAAACCAGAACATGTAGTCACCCTAACTAGAAGCCATTTAAAGACATTATAACTTTGGAAAGGTTTAGAAGAGCATACTATGTTCAAATTTGCATTAGGAAGATCAGTTTGGTTGTAGTTTGAAAAAGACAACAGAAGGATATAGGATTACTTCTGATGCTTTTGCAGGAGGGGTGAAAGTGTGTTAGATTAAGGTAATGGCTCATGGAGATAGGTGGATAGAGATAGAAAGTTGTAGGGCTTGATGCTAGATTCCCTAAATTCTGGATGTGAGTACAATGGACAAGAAGACTAATCAGACCTCCAGATCCCTGGCTTGGGCAACAAAGTAGATGGACACATCATTCAGGGACATAAGCATTGACTATCTTCCCTATTGTATGGTTTTGGAGAATTAATATCTCATAATATGAATTAGATCATCTTGCCTCATAGCAATAGCGTTTTGTCACAGTCCGAATATTATTTGCTATTTATATATGCCATTTGTTATATTCCCCCTTTTATCTGAACTTACATTTTAAGTGTAAGTGTAAGTCTTTAAAAACTGAATAGAAACATTTTATTACCTCACATATTTACCTCACCTCCTCCCCCCCCCCCCCCAGGGGTAGACTATTTCAGTTCTACTCATGTTGCAAATTTCAATTCTACAATACAGTGGTATCAACCATAGCACCATGTTATAGTTACCATGGTATACCTTGTTATACCCATTCATCTTATAATTGAGATTTTGTATCTTTTTGCCCATGTTTCCCTATTTTCACCACCCCCAAGCCCTGGCAACCCCATTTGTGCTCTCTGTTTTTATGGGTTCCTTTTTGTTGTCGTTCTTTTTTAGATTTCACCTCTAATGTCATGTGCAGTATTCATCTTTCTCTGCCTGGCTTATATCACTTAGCATAATGCCCTCCAGGTTCGTTCATGTTGTCCCAAATGTCAATATTTCCTTCTTTCTTACAGTTGAATAAAACTTCTTTGTGTGCATATATATTAATAGTTATATGATACACATAAACTTTTTCTTTATCTGTTGTGCAGTAGAAACTATTTTAAGAGTGGAAATGAGGTTTAATGTCTTTTTTCCCATCATGAACAGCACAATGAATTGTATATGGTCACATATCAATAACAATAATGTGTTGAAAATTCAGTAATCCCCTTTTCTGGGGGAGTATGTTCCCAGACACCTAGTAGATTCCTGACACCGAACCACAGGTCGTACTGAACCCTGCATATACATATCTTCTACTATGCACAGATATCTATGAAAAAAATTAACTTATAAATTAGACACAGTAACAGCAGTAATGAAATAGAACAATTATAGCCATATGCTCACATAAATGTTATGTGAATTTGATTTCTCTCTTTCTTAAAATATCTTGTGTTGTATTCATCCTTCTTCTTCTTGTAATGATGTAAGATGATAAAATGCTAAGACAATGAGATGGAATGAGGGGAAAGACAGGCATTGTGATATAGCAGTAGGCTACCTTTGACCTTTTGACCACACATCCGAAAGAGGATCATCTGCTTCCAGGCCTAGGTTGACTTTGGACAACCGAAATCAGAGAAAGTGAACCCATGGATAATGGGGAGGAGGGAGAGGCTAAACATTAACAAAAGAGTAGGGTACATTTTGACATAATATGTTCAAGAATATCAAACCCATGGCTCCTCAAGTACACATATATCAGCTTCTCCAACCTCCTATTCTTACGTTTCAAATTTTAATCCTGACTGTTCCTTTTCCTCAGCTTTAGGTATTCAATCAGTTGCCGAAGATTTCAATGTTAATTCAACTAGTCCACATTTCTTTGTTCCTACTCTCATCACCATTATCTGGCATTACTGAGTCTGGCTGGCCATGTTATAATAGACATTTTGCATCTTGGTATTTTTTTCTTTTTCAATTTAAAAAATATCCCTATGTAATAACCAAGTCATCTTCCCATGCAAAACAATCTTATCAAGTAACTTTTTCTCAACTTAGTGCTTCTAATGTAATGAATCTAGAGAATCTGCCTAAGTTTTAGCTGTTGAAATTAGACTATACAAATAGATGAATGAATATTACTGAGTTAGCAACATTATCTGACAAACCTGTATTTTAATGAGTACTATATTTTTCTAAAATTAGTTTCCATGATTCCAAAGTGGATATGATGTATGACTATAATAGGTTAAATATTAATACATTTTTTAAAATAAATAGCAAGATATGTGTAGGAGTTACTTTAATAGACACAAAAATGAAATGGTGTTTTGAATAAAACCATGTTTCCACTTGTGTGTGTAGAAATACAATAAGTAAAGAAAAAAATACATGCAAAATAATACTTTCAATAGAAGTATTAATTGCATTTATATAAGATTTAAAATTTTTATTGCCTTGGATTATTCTAAGTAAATATTGCTGTTTTTGATTTTTTCAGAATTAAAATAAATCATTTTTGTACTTATATTAAAATGGTGATTATTTATGTTTAAAATTTTTAATGAATCTTGATGTTTTTAACACATTTTTTTCTTTTTCCTATACTAACTAATATGCAAAAGTGAAAAATGTAGATACAGATATATACAGATATATTTTACCATATACATAGCTATATAGCACAGATTCAGATCCAGGGAAAATAATAAGTCAAATGGGATATTGGTATTTGTTATATTTTAAATAATAGGTTCTTAGGTAACGCGTTTTACAGATTCATACTTTGTAATCTTTGCTCTTGTAGCATGTAAGAAAACACCCACAGTTGTATTTTTTTTCTCAATGACATTTGATGTTAAAAAAATGAGTCAAGGGGCGCCTGGGTGGCACAGTCGGTTAAGCGTCTGACTTCAGCCAGGTCACGATCTCGCGGTCCGGGAGTTCGAGCCCCGCATCAGGCTCTGGGCTGATGGCTCAGAGCCTGGAGCCTGTTTCCGATTCTGTGTCTCCCTCTCTCTCTGCCCCTCCCCCGTTCATGCTCTGTCTCTCTCTGTCGCAAAAATAAATAAATGTTGAAAAAAAATTAAAAAAAAATGAGTCAAGTCAACACACTTCTTGCTTTATAATAGAGTTTCTATTCCCTCTGAATTGAAAATATAGATCTTATACCAGAGAAGATTAATGTTTCTTCTTTTCCTAAGGATTATTTTGATTACATTTCATTACATTTGGCAGCTCTTATAATAATAAAAGAAAGAATTAAAATATGGGTCTATTTTGCTGATGCAAGAACAGCTTCCCGTTTAACAGATACCAACTTTTCAGATTTGAAGTGAAGCTTTTAGTAACCGTCTTATCATCAATGTCATGTTTTGTAGACAACACAGCTGGAATTGAAACCCGAAGAAATGGATACAGCCGCAGGCAGCAAGAGTTGTATTTCCTCCCTGTTGTAATAGAAGACAGCAGTTACCCTGTGCAGAGCAGCACAAACACCATGACTATTCGAGTTTGTAGATGTGACTCTGATGGTACCATCCTGTCTTGTAATGTGGAAGCAATTTTTCTACCTGTAGGACTCAGCACTGGGGCTTTGATTGCCATCCTACTGTGCATTGTTATACTCTTAGGTTGGTTTCAATAATCCCATATTCTCTCTCTCTCTCTCTCTCTCTCTCTCTCTCAATCTCTCTTCTCTCTGCCTCTGTCTTCACAATTGAACATGTAAATTAGTTTTTCTTCGTTGAGATGTCACATCTGGATAGAAGAAAGATTAACTACATTGAATTCTATTTTTTGTTAATATGAATTTTCTGTTTAAGACTCTATGTATATATAGCATTAAGAATAAACAAATAACATCATCAGAAACACAAGAGTACATTCAAGCCCTTGGGGATTCCGAGGAATAACAGTTTGTTGCACAAGCCACAGTGAAATTTTCTATAACAGATATCTCATTTACAGCAGTGTTTTTATAATTCATCTTATATTCCAGTAATTATTGCTATCTAATAAGATAGTACCTATCTTTAAAAATAAACTAGATGAACCATGGCTCTCCAATTCCCATTCAATAAAGGAAGAAAAGGGAAAAGACAGGAAAGAAATGAAAGTAAAAGCATTCCCAATTTTTTTTTCTGTTTAAACTGCCAGCCAAAAGCAGTTCTCATTCTGCTTTTTTCACAGCTCCACACATCAAAATTCTAACCACCCTCCCTAGAAAAGAACACACTAAAACATCCAGAAGCGCTGCAAAGGAAAAGGATTGAAGTAACGTATTCTGTAACATCTCTGTGAGAATTAATATAAATCTACTTTAGGGGTTTCCGTCTTCCATCCATTCTGTTCAGCTGGCTCCATTCACTTATTAATTCACTGCCAGATTCACAAAACTAGAGAGAGCTTTTCTGTTTTGCCCGTCATTTCTTTAAGTTCAAATTGCAACAGAGGTACAGCTGGGCACTGTGGAATCCGTTGATATATGCTTCACAAATGTAGATACATACATTTATCTTTAAGATAGAAAATTAAAAAAAAAAAAAAAAAACAACCTAGGATGTAAAGCATGGAGTAAGGCATTATATGACAGTTTTTGGAGAACATTCTCTAAGAAGCTCATGTCAGTTTGGAAGTTGAAGTTCTGGTCCAATTTGCATAGTGTAGATACACACCTGAAATTGAACACCATCAGTTAGGTGCTTAACCTCAAATCAAGGGTTATTCTTTCATGCTTCTTTCTTTCAAGGAGCCACCGGAGTCCCAGAGTATTTCCATATCAACCTACCATGACTTGGCATGTTCTGGATGCTCATTTTTGGCCTGTTTGGCCCTTTTATAGTGTACTGTGTCATCTTGCTCTGCTCAGCATCATTTTGCCCCGCTGTCTGTTACTCATTCCTCCAAATAGTTTCTGAGTGTCTACAGTGCACGTGTCCCATTTTAGCACATGGATTTGCAAGCCCACAGCAGTGAATGTTGACATTTCTAGTTCTGCCATGAAGAATTCTTAAAAACCCAACTCTTCTTGGACCTCTTTAACCAATCCCAAACTCCTTCAGACCTTCCCATTTATTCTGAGCCATTTTCTCATCTTTCCTGGGATGAGGGGAAGCACGAGTGTCTTGTGGTGTGTAGGGATCTTTTACGGGGCCCTCAGACACATCAGCTACAGTCCCCTTCTCAGCCATAGCAACTCCAAAGCCATTTTAGATGTAGGCCTTCTCTATGAGGTTTGCAGTTTCTGGCTCATCCCCCAAGTGAGCAATCGTCTTTTTTCATTTTGGGACCTCCTTAAATCCTGGGAAGAGTGCAGAGTGCTAAACGTCTCTTAGAGGCCCATAGTACAAAAGCTCTACCTATAGCTCCTTCCTCCTTCCAGTTGGTCAACCTTTAATTTGTGAGGAGGAGGGAATAAATGAGCTTTCCTCATCACGCAATCTCCTCTAATTTCTAATCTTTTGACAACAGTCTTCCAGACTCTACTGTAGGAAATCAAACATACTGTGATTTTCAATCTATTACCCCTTCTGTGGAGGAGAGGGGGTTTTATGATGACCAAAGTTGAGCACTGACTTTATGCTTTGAATCTGTGCCCATTCGCTTCTAGAGGAACTAAACACTTACAATTTAGTGGTTGCTGGGCATCAGCCAGGAACAAAGAAAGATTTAAGTGAGAGCATATAAATTAAATATTTCAAAATTTTATCATGAATGAATGCAAACTGAACACTGGGAATTTGATTTAGAAAATGTCTCAATATGTTAGGACACAGAATTGAAGTAATTAGAAGTCTCAGTTGACACAGTTTATAAAACTAAGGCCTTTATATTCTGTACTCTTCCTTCCTTTCTCTTCTCCTTCCTTCCCTTCTTTCTTCCCTTTCTAAAATGTATCGCTTTGAAAAGTCATTTTTACAAGAAGATGTGGGTTTGTTTCATTATAAATGCAAGTAATGTTACAGCTAGGGAATCTAGCTATAAATAATATCTAAGTGTTACTTATGGGCAATAATATTTAAGTTTTATTATACCAATACTATACAGCTCTCTCTATGCTTAGAACAAGCATTCTTTCTTACAAAATTTTGTAACACACCCTTTTTAACTGCCACTAAAATACTGAAATATAACACAAACTAAATATGAGACAGTCATTGCTTGATTTTGTGAATAATTTTGCTAAGGTTTCTTGTTAGCTACAATTTGAAAATGAAGTTGAGCTTTACACGATGAACAGTGTAAACATAGATATGATCCTTCTTGATTATAATATGTTTACTTTGAAAATCATCAACTACATATTCTCAACTTGCAACTTTTGTCTTGTTCTAGCCATCGTTGTACTGTATGTAGCTCTGCGAAGGCAGAAGAAGAAAGACACTCTAATGACCTCGAAAGAAGACATCAGAGACAACGTTATCCATTATGATGACGAAGGAGGTGGGGAGGAGGACACCCAGGCGTTTGATATTGGTGCTCTGAGAAATCCGAAAGTGATTGAAGAAAACAAAATTCGCAGGGATATAAAACCAGACTCTCTCTGTTTACCTCGTCAGAGACCACCGGTGGAAGACAACACAGACATAAGGGATTTCATTAATCAAAGGCTGCAGGAAAATGACGTGGACCCGACTGCTCCACCGTACGATTCATTGGCTACATATGCATATGAAGGAAATGGATCAGTAGCAGACTCCCTTAGCTCTATAGACTCTCTCACCACGGAAGCTGACCAGGACTACGACTATCTGGCAGACTGGGGACCCCGCTTTAAAGTCTTGGCAGACATGTTTGGTGAAGAAGAGAGTTATAACCCTGATAAAGTCACTTAGGGCAGAGGCGAAGGATAAAACACAACCAAATGGAGAAATTTAAGAAAAGGAAACACAAATAGAAATCACACACACATACACACACACACACACAGACACACACATGCATGCACACATGTGCGCACACACTTACACACACACACACACACACACACACACACACACACACACCAGGCTTTATAGGAACACAGTCCTTTGATTACCTGGTTTCTAGCAAGTTGCTATATTTATCATATTGTCAGTTTTGTTTTACTCTGCAAACACAAGATAAATCCTATTAACTGTACTCGCTTGGTTTTGTTTTGTTATTTTGGAAACACACTGAGACAAGCTCAGGCCTATTGAATACAATTTACTGACATGACAACATAGAACGAAGATAGCTATGTGGCATCACGGTGGAAGAGTGTTAGATTTTTCTTAATTCCACTAAAGTGCCTATTGAAACTCTTATCATTTAAAGTGGTGTCCAATGCACTCTGCTGTGATGGCATTACAGGATTCAGAGATACAGAGGACAGAAAACAAAGACACTGTCTTTATGTCAAGGAGCAATAGCAACACGCTGACTTCTAATTCCTTTTGAGGAAAAATGAAGAATACTTTCTGAACTCCATCTTCTTATAATTCAGAGGTTTTTTTTTTTCTTTTTTAAACTGTATGCCAAAACACATTTGTTTTTCCTACCCTTTCAGAATATTGAAATAAATGCGATAATATCAAATTCAATATGTAAGTCCTGAATCTTAAAAGCAATGTTTGATCTTCACATTAGTTCGTATTAAAGGTGATCAGCAAAATGTTACTTTTTTTCCAAAAAAAAAAAAGACATTTTTAAAAAGGAATTTAAAGAAAAATCCCTCTTTATGAAGAGAGGCCTCAGGGCTGAAACCCCACATCAAAATAAATATTGGTTTTGTGTTAATACTGTGCTGGTGTGTGGAAGGTTCGTTTTAACAAATCACCAGATCATTAAAGTGTTCAGTCATAGATAAAATTTTAACTTGCGCTTCTACGAAAATTATTAAGGAAGAAAGTGCCATTAATTCAAACATGGGAAGAGAAATTCATTACAGAGCTTCTCAGAGTTTCTTACAAACTAGTGATTTTTTTTGATGAGCAAAGAAAATAAAATACATATCAAATGATACAGCATGGATTTATAGCGTGTCTAAAAATATTACATATTATTAGACAAATAAAAAATCAGGGATTTCAGAACATTCAAACCAGTGACTAATTCCTAAAATGAACACAAATGCAGAATCAAGCAGTTGATTGATTTATTTAATCAGCATGGATTTCAACTTTGTAAACATTGTTATTAATTCTCACAGTTGCTTCTTTATGTGATCATCTACAATAATTCCAATATAAATGATCCCATACAACTCTTCTTTAAAAAACTTTTACTTTTTAATTTGAGGCAGATTTCTGAGAAATGTTAGATTTTATAAGCATACAAATACACCACACTCATATACTTTACTTTCAAGTGAACTGTACCCTATCTAGAAATGCACTTAACAAAACAGATAACTCCGAAGTGATGATATATTTTCTTAACAGTATAATTATACAAGTGACTACTGAACTATTGAGACTATCTCTAGGAAAAAAAAAATAAAATTTGCTTATAAGATCCACCCTGAAAATGTGGTCAATATCTAGCTGTATTTATGAAATATTTATGAATATATTTATATTTGCAAAGTTGTAAAAGAATTCGCGCATGGGAAAAATGGGTAGAAATATGGGTAGTATAGGCAAATTGTATTCAGTCCTATTCATTATTAAGTATTATTTCAAAAATTATGTAAGTGATAATCATGCAGTGGCAATTTGGCTCTTAGCATTTGCAGTTCACATACCTTCTTTGGTGCCACATAGTTGCACACTGTCCTTGTTTTCCATATCATGAACAATTGTTGAACCTCTTTTCGTCCTCCCAGCACCCAGATCTCACTTGTGTCTCAACTTTGGGAAATATATTTGAATATTCACATAGTGTAATAATTTCCAGCATAGAATGCTTTGGGAAACAGCTATGTAATTTTTTTTTTTTTTTAAAGCTGGTGATGTCATAACCTTACTGGAAAAAAATGAAGGCAACTTCTGGGTTTGTCCTAGCAACATGATTTACTATGCAGTGATGCACGACCCCTTGAAGAAGGTTAATATGGAAGATCACTTCTGGCTGACAACATGATTCTTGTCAGGAATCATTGACGTTTGTATCTGGTTAGAGCATCTAACTGCCTCTGCAGGCGGTCATAGGTAGAAAGCCATGATGGCACAAAGAAAACTTGGGAAGGACAGGTCATTTCAAACCACATGACTGAGATGCTAAGCAAATATGTGAAATTGGTGAGTCTTACTTTTATCAAACTAATAAGCGTTTGGCCATTACTTATCTATTTTACTTTTGCTACCCCACTGCAATAGTTTCTTAGGGCTGCCATGATGAAGTACCACAGATTGGGTCGCTTAAACAACAGAATTTTATTTCCTTGTGGTTCTGGAAGCTGGAAGTCCAAGAACTAGGTGTTGGAAAAGATTTCTTCTAAAAGCCTCACTCCTTGGCTTGTAAATTTTCTTTCTCCTTGGCTTGGCCATTTTCTGTGTCTTCATATGGTCTGCCCTCTGTGCTAATTCCTCTTCTTTGAAAGACACTGGTCATACTGAACCCACTCACAGGGCCTCTTTTTACCTTAACTCTTAAATGCTCTGTCTCTAGATACAGTCATATCCTGAGGCACTGGTGATTAGGATTTCAAAATATCAATTTTAGGCAGACACAATTCAGCCCCTAATGGCCAATATATTTAAAAAATATATTTGATTTCCAGCAAATGAGCAAACAAATGGGAAAAAATGATATAGAATGGAAATAATTTCAGGTACAGTAGGAAACCAGAGTGATATAGTGAAAAGAGGCCTTTTGGCGCTCATAAACTGGGATTATAATGGGTTATCTTTTAGACTAATCAATAGTTATAATATCTTCCTTTTAACTTTTAATAAGCAGTCCCTGGCCTTCATTTAGGAATTAATCAATGTAAAAAAAGGCTTAGAATTTACATGGAGAATTTTGTCCATTAGTAATAATCATACATAACTTTTTAATTACATTACATGTTTACCGTTACAAAAAATATATATGTACATATTATATGTTACATCTGAATATAATATACATTTATTTTAAATGCAACATTTGTGCTAAAAAAGTATTAGATCAACACATAAGAATGAAACTGTGCTATACTAAATATAATTTAAAATTGCTCTGTACCAAATTCTATCACTAACTGGAAATGTACTATGGAGCAAACACCTTTGCCTCCATGTTTTATTCTCTTTGTAAAATTTATCTGTTGCCCTTGGTGTTATCTAGGTTTCTTATGAAATTTCTTGATACTTAAGTTCTAGCTACAATTATAGGAAGTCTATTAAATTGTTTACATATTGATTACATAAATTTTTGAGAATCATAAAAATCTTTAAGATAGAATGAACAAAAATCTTTGAACTATGGATTTGATTACTTACTTTGGCTTACCATATACCACATCAGGAGAGCCAGGCAAACATTTCTTAAGACATAATGTCAAAATGCCTCAGCAAGACAATGGTAGAGGTGTGCATAGAAAGAGAGAGAAAAAAATATTGGAGCCCAGATCCTGAGACAGAGAAGGAAAACAAGTGACAGGAAGAAAAGGTTGGAAGGGTGTGTCAGCCTTTGTCTTTAAAAGGAGGACATTTTCAAAATCCTTGGAAAAGTTTTAGTAACTTAAGGTATTAAAATGTGAATTCTTTGGGCACCTGGGTGGCTTGGTTGAGTGACTGATTCTTGATATAGGCTCAAGTCATGACCCCAGGGTAGTAGGGTTGGTCCCCGCCATGGGCTCCGTGCTGAGCTTGGAGACTGCTTAAGATTCTCTTTCTCTTCCTCTGCTGCTTCCCAGCCCTTCTCAAAAATAAAATAAGATAAAGTAAAATGGAAATTCTTAAGAGCAGGTGTAAAAATGCAAGCATATTTGAGGTGGGAACCAAAGTAAGACTAGGTGTGAAAAGAGTTACTAAGATGTCAGTAACATTAGTCTGCTTCCTAAGCAAAAAGAGTGGGAAGGAGATAATTTTATAACCTCATGTTTGAAAATTTCTCTGGACTCCTCTGCTAATTCATAGTCTACCTAGCTACACAATTGTCATTTAGATTTTAAAAAATATTTTGAAGATGTGTTCTATCATATTCTGGCATCCAACCAAGCTGATGAAAAATAAGGGTAAATGTATCACTCCCTCATTTTATGCAATATTATAAGTTTTTTCGTGATGATATTCAGATTTTTTTCTTTTCCTTTTTGTTATTAAATTTCACACCAACATGTCAAGGTGAGTCTTTTGTCATTCTCAAGACTAGACACCCAGAATGTTCTTTCAATACGGAGCCACAGATCCTTCAGTTTTTGGAGATTGTCTTGTATTAATTCTCTGATGCATTCCTACCCTGTGTTTTTTCTTGTTGACTCTTTGTGGGATGTTTAATAGTTGATTGGAGGCACTGGGTTTAAGAGTTAATTGCATTATTTTTTAACTATCACTTTCTTATACTTTATCCCATTTTCATGATTATCTTTTCATCTTCGTCTTCCAGTTCTTTTTTTCCTTTTTTTTTTTTTATTTTCGTCCTTCCAGTTCTATTGGTAAACTTTCTAGTGATTTTTTTTTTCTGATTTCAGCAGCTTGTTGCTGTGTTTTTCTGTTCCGTCTCTTTCCTGTTATTCTGCTCTTGTTTGTAGATAGTTTGTTTCTTTACTCTCTACAATAATGTTAATTTTACTACTTTCTACAGTTTTTTTGGTAAATTTTTTCTCTGAAATATATGTATCAAATAGAGTAGGGAGAAAGAGAGACATAGACGGATATTTTAGTTTATTCTATTTTGATTCAGGTCTCATTCTAGTTTTTTGCCATATTTGATATGTCCAAGTCCTGACACATATCGAGACTGTCATGAGAAGATAAGTTCTCAACTGTGCTATAACATTGGTTCTCTAGTCTGCAATTTTATACTTAGTTTCATTTATCACCATTTCATTAGCCATCCAATAGTTTGCCCAAAATGCTGATCGGATAACAGACAATATGCCATTCTCTTTTATTGTGGCAATGCACACACACAAACATGCCCACAAATAATTACATATGTGTAATCTACAAATATTTTTTCTATAAATACTATATATATTATTTATAAATATGTATTTCCTTATCTTTAAATTATTTAATCATTATAACTTTTTGTCTCAGTATGAAAGGATCTTACATATATAAATGCAATCAGTCATATTAACCAAAAACTTTGAACAGACAACTGATCATTTTTTTCTCTTATATTCATTGTTATAAAACAGATTTGGTTTATATATGTACACATGCACACACATACACACAGAAACATATATGCAATCACATGGTTGATAATTCCAATTTGCAGTTAGTTTTGGACCTCCACTTAATTCCTTTATTCAAGTCCCTTATATTTCTTAGTGTAATGGATTTTCATAAACAACCAGTCAGACTCACTACATTTCTGAAAATGACTTAATCTTTAATAGGAGTTTAATTGTATTTTTTAAATTGCACTTCAAGATGGAAGAAATAGAAGGTAAGAGTGTCCAAACAACTTGTGCAAAACCAAAAAATAGTAACCTAATGGGTGCAAACCTCTTCAATTATGAAGTTTAAGTAAATCTACTCTTGGTTTCTATTCTAGGGTTCTTTCCACTGTTTTTCCAACTCCTATGCTGTTATATATTATATTTCATCGATGAATGTAATCACCACAAGTTTTTGGGAATTCTGAACCATATTGAAACATATTATTGTGCTTCCTTACAAAGGAGAAAGAACCTAGGC